ACGAATCACAATCCTCACGACTCTATCCTTGATTTTAAGGATACGTTGGATTCTGTCGGTCTCTCGGCGCCGTTAGCTACACTTGCATAAAAGGGTGTGTATCAGAAATTTGTGGACGTAATCCGATCCGCATATTCGCATACTTCTGAGTGTGTGGGCGTACGGTGAGCTGTTCAAAAGATTCTCTGAAAAAGTGGTATCTGACACGGATATTCCTCTTTCCATTGTTGTTCAAATTCATCAAAGGAAAGGGAAGGGTGGAAGGTCTTCAAAACCCCAGTGCTCAAACTACTGCTGGTGAGAAGCTTGTCGACATGGAGTACGCGGACGACATTGCCCTCATCTTTGAAGATCAAGGCGAAGCACATGTCCTGTTGAATATACCAACCACCCTTATAGTCTTTTGGCGTGCACCTAGCACCTTCAAATTCATACTTCAGAACGTACAGTCTTTGAACATACCCCTTACAGTTCAAGGAAAATCAGTGGAGGTTGTGGAGAATTTTACATACCTCGGTAGTTGTACTAGCCCTAATGGAAAAGTGTCTGAATGAAGTCAGTACAAGAAGCTAAAAAGCCCGAATTACGTTTGCCAATATGCATCACTTTTGGCGTCAAAAAGGCATTTCACTGGGTCTTAGGGGTCACGTGCACCAGTTTACAGTAAGGGCTGTGTTGTTGTATAGGAGCGAGATGTGGCCTCTGTGGACAGATGATGTGAGGTGTCTTCAGGTTTTTTATACCACCGATGCCTCAGAAGCGTTGCTGGTTTTGGATGGCATCGACGGATTAGTACCAAGGTGAGTAGAAAATGGGAATTTAATTGTGCGGCAAGTATTTCAACTACGGAAAACATCCAGCACCATCGACTACGATGACTCAGTCATATCTTACGTATGCCAAAACATCTTTACCGGAACGAGTGTTGTTCTCCGTGCCTCCTTCAGAACTGTGCAAACCTGGTTGTGGATCGTGTACGACTTGACGAAGGGACATGAAAGAGATTACAAGGAGTTTGGGTGTTGTTGGTATTGTACGATTTCAGGACGGGGTCCTCGTGAGCCGTCCTGCGTTTGGCTGGAGACATTACAAGAAACGGCGACTGACAGATGTCAGTGGCGTTCGTGCTGTCATTTTCTTTCCAGATTATCTGATTGAGCACTCGAAGGTATAGGCGCCTACGAATGCTTGACATGGGCCAGCAGTAGGTCTTCTCCCTCACTCACTATTTTGCTTCTTTTTTCACTCTTGGGTTTTAAATATGATTAGATGAACCTTATGGTTGTACAGCAGTGAAGCATCAGTGTCAACAATGACATGGCTGTCTTTGATGAGGATGATGTACCACATCTCCATAGTTCCGCGGTCATGTATTTTGATTGTTTGCACAGTCGGGATTCCAAAATAAGTAGAATCAACTCGACTCTTTGACGTCGTGGTACTTTTATTGAGTCACACATGGCACAAAGACGACAGTGAAACATCGGCGTTGAACACTGATGTTATGCTGTCGATAATGATGATGATGATGGTGACAAAGACTGAGTACATTGAATTATCAGTTTGGGAAGCAAATCACTAAATAATGTCACAGAACGACCTGGCAATCAACTTTTGTAAGGTGGATTATACTCGGAGGGTATTTGGAAGCAGTCGGAGGCAGAAAAATCTATCTGTTGTTACAAAGGCATGCCCACGATTACCTCTTTAAATACCGTAACATTGATGAACTAGTACTATTCCCCCCATGTATTCCGCCACGCCCGTGCATTGACCTCGTCGGTCACTACAATCGGAAATGACACAAATGCTTATGAACATAAAACGTTCCACAACCCTGATTGCCTCTCCTCGTACAACCAGAAGCAGAAGCTTACATTGTGTGGGTGCAAAGAGCATGCTATCGTTCAGCTGTAACACCCTTTCGGTACATAGCTGCCATGCCACCCGAAGGAAGCACGAGGTTTGACATACTGCCAGGTTTCCCAAGTCCGGTAGGGTGCAGTCGAGATACAGAAGTTGGGTTTGAACCACGGACCTTTTGGTCAAAAAGTTCTCGCCGTACCAACTGAGCTCTCTTGAGCACATGCCAAAGGATGGGATAGCTTTGGTCAATTAGTCCAAAAATATCTGCGCCCTCTTCCCATTTTCGAAAAAAAAACGACACCATCTACATATTCCAGATCAACAAAGCTTCCGTTAGCAGCTATTTGAAAATCAGGGTTCTGAAGACCTAACGTTCGTTTTATCGTCTCGTCAATCACAAAAGTGGATAGTGGAAAGCGTGTGCACCACTTTGCGGATGGAAGCTTTTGGAGAGCTTACCGTGTACACCGGTGAGAATACGAAACATGTATTATATTGACAAACTTCTGGGTTTTCCTTGCTAAGCAAGTGTTCAAAATAAAACAGGTCCGCTGAGTCAAATGCGCCTTGGAAATCCAGAAATAGTAAAGTCGCCACTTATACCTATTGCGTTTTTCTAGCGCTTGACGAATCAGTCAACGCAAACCTTAGAAGGTGGGAATTCCGCTTGCTGCTCTCGAGATGTTACTTTACAGACCGCCATAAGGAGACGCAGGAGGAATGACACCAAGAGCTAAAATCAGGCTGATCCCTCTGTGATTACCACACACAGCAAGCGCCTATCTTTTATAACGGCTCCCCTCAGTAGGCTGAGACAATTTCCCTTCCTAAATGCAAGCAAACAGGCGAGAAAATCGCTGAATAAGAACTTCACCCAATTCTTGAACACTAATGGAAGGAGCTCGGTGGTGCTTGAAAGGACATATGCATTTATACGAGACGGACCAAGTGGTTAGAGCGCGAATTTACTGACCGGAAAGTCCGTGGTTCGAATCCGACCTCTGCCACTCGACTTCCGCTGTCTAGGCTTGGGCAACCTGGCAGTATTCCAGCCCTCGTGCCTCCTTCGTGTGGCATGGCAGCTAGGCACCGAAAGGGTGCTACAGCTGGACGATTACTATTAGTATTTATACACCTTCGATTCTGCAAGGGGTTCTGTTGCCGTTCCAGCATCCAACTTAATGGCGGTAAGTGACCAAGAGAAATGTTGTTCAGATTTCTCGGCCCAACTGCCCAGGCATCCTTCTTTACTGAAAATGGTCACATCATTTTGATTCTTGATATTTTATCCCACGTGCGTTTTTCGTAGGCTTGTAGCGCAGACCAACTGGAATAACTTTCGGCATNCGATCTATTCCCAACTTTCCGGACCATTTCTATTTCCTTAGCCTTCCTTGACCACCAGGCCTTACGTTCCTCACGAACGCTGAGTTTCATTTGACGTCTGATGATTCATTACACTGGACTGATGGGAACATTTCTCCGAGATTCAAACAGTACCACTGTTCTGCCTGATTTTATGTGCCACAAGCGAAACTCCCGGAACTATGCAAACGTGTGGCAGTCTCGTTCCAGCACGAATTGACATCAGGCGGAGAAGTATTTGGAAGATAATCCAGAAGACAGTTTTCATTAAATCGTCTAATTGGAATCTCTCATTTGCTAGGCGATTTGCCCGTTTCCCTTCGCGGCCCTGCAAAGCGAAAAGCTAAGTAACTATAGACGAGTGCATTGTCACAAATCCACACGTGTTCCAAAATGAGCGTTAGTCGGCTGTTAACTCTTACCATCGGCAACTGATGGCGACGTAGCTGGTGCTCCGTTGGAGAAAACCATCTGATCAGACGACTTCGATTATTTCGGAAGTTAGTGCTGCATAAAAACAGTCTTCTCTCAGCACATAGTTGAAACACTCGGTATTGTTGGTACGTCTCATTTAAGCAGGTCAGCCAAATGAGTCTCGGATGGAGAGCACAACTTTATGCTTATAAAGGAAACTACTCACAAGGTTGCTGAAGAGCACCATAAACGAGAGATTCACTTGAGTTTCCCGTGAAAACTCAATTGATTTGCAAATGAGTGTATTTCTCGAAAACAGTCCAATTCGGCTTCAAGTAGAACTTAAGGTTGACGGAAACTCGGAGACTGCGCCTACCCGATGAGCTCCAAAAAGGGTGAAACGGTCACGGGCTGTCGAGGTTTTCCTCAAACTTGAGTAGTTTCCTTTATGGAAATATACTGCCATATCTCGAATATCGTATCAACTACAACTCGAGGCGGTCTGTTTACATCACATTCAGCTGAAGAACATCATAAACAGGGGGTTCACTTGAGTCTCCCGCGAAAACCAAATTGATTTGCAAATGAGTGCAGCTGTCGCAACTTTATGATTACTGTTAAAACCTCCAAACATGCAACGGTGCGAAGCTACCTTAGAAAATCTCACTAATCCCGTCGACCATTTGAGGGAGTTCATTTGGACACAGAGAACTGTGTTCCCACTGCCTACTGCGACGGACGCGACAAATTGCTAGCTGCTAGAAATGCCACCCGCAGTACACCGAAAATATATGTCTGTGGTAATTCGTGGGTTAATCTAACGCTGAAGTTGATTACTCAGTCTGAATAGACCTGCACGTGGTTCGGCGGCTTGTAGGAATGCTTATCAGTTCAGCAAAGGCTAAATACTGCACGGGTAGGCTTACAGCCTCAGGATACCCGAGTTGAAGTAGAAAATCCGGATGAACCGTTACGGCGCGTCGCATTCAGTTGTACGGCAGCACAAGTTGTCATGATCTGGATGCCAACAGACGGGTGTGAGGAGTTAACAGGACACTGAATAGTCTCGTAGCCTGTAAACCGAACATCCAGCAGTTAACGACATTGGGGAATCGATTTACATTAAAGTGAAGATGGATCTAAAGTCAACGCAAAAAATATCGGTAAGGAATAGCGGTCGTACCGCTCAATGACAACCTATTACGGGTTTTGTGGGAGACAGACTAGATTTCATAGCGGGCAACAGAAAAGGCCGTCACTAAGTGGTAAGTGAACCGTGAAACACTAGGTATACCGGCCCAGCCCTAATTTTACTGTAGCAAAGTTAAATTCATGAGAACATGATTGTGACTGACCTTCAACAGAAGTTCACGGTACGTCACCGAAAAGCGGTCATTTGGATCGTTTCCCTCCCAAAAGAAGGCGATTTTGTCACCACGACCATTTTCGACGTGGACATCCAGTGCATTAAAGCTGACATTCGTGACGCCATCGGCGAACCATTTAACACTAACAGGCCCCTTGGATATATCGAAATTATAATCAAGGCAGTTCTCTAGTGTGGGGTTTTCTTTCCAGTAATATTTTAGGGCGAAATCCAGCCAAAATTTCTTCGGGTTTGAGAGGGCATTTTCATGCAACTCTCTGTACTGACCCATCGACTGCACATGGGCATCTTTAGCGAGTATTTTGCTTGGCGATACAGTGTGCATCGTGCGTGTGAAGCGCTAACAGGTATGCCGCTAGATGCGGACCGCGCAAAGAAAACGTTACGCGGCCTCGCTCGAAAGTCCCGCTGCCAACAGTGGGCGACCCCAGCGAGATCTGGACTTGCTATTCTATGTGGTAAAACAATCATAGTTCCCATGGGTATCTGGTTTATCAGAGATAGCAAATAAAAGAGAGTTTGTCACAATTTTATAAGTAAACAAGGTTGATAGGTTGAAAGACTTATTTTCGAGAGATTGGCAGGAGTTTAGGTAATTTCAGAATCAGCGAACCTTGTAAGTTCGTGTGGATCAATAGAGCCAGAGGCTCGTAGATCCGGACCGTCAGCTTTTCTACGATGCTCGAGATCCTTTGTGGGCGTCCACAATTAAGGGAATCGACATTCACCACTGGCACTGGAAGATATGACATGTAGGTTCCCCCTGTTTCGGTCCTCTCTGAATAACATTATAGGCATCCGTCATGCTTTTGCATCAAAAACAAACCAGGATTCACGGATTCACGGATTGATACACAGAATCGAGGCTATTGCCCAAGTTCCCCGTGTCGCCATTATTCTTGTCGGTCGGTAGCTGTCGTTCGCCAAAGAGGCACAAGTGAAAAAGGGCGTAGCACTGCTCTTTATGTTCTCAGCGCAGGGCAGTAAGCTTGCGAGCGCGAGGATTCGCATAAATAAATGCCTAATAGTGCTTTAAACTGGGTTTTAAAAGGAGTGCGAACAACTGTTGGAGGAAGGTCATTCCACGCATCTATTACCAGAAATAAGAAAAGTTTTGTCTCGAGCTTGAAAATTTTCTTACTAGGTCCCCGCCGTGTGTTTGTTGGGTCAACGGTGAACAACCTGTTTGCCAAGCTTCGTTCAAAAAGGCTATAAGTAAGAATTAGGTCCCCTAGGAGGCGACGGCACTTCAGGGAAGGATATCAAGCATTGCGAAACGCGTTTCGCAGTCCACGGATTCGAGGCCGGCAACCATTCTCGTGGTTGCAAAATCACCAACAATTACGATTCAACAGGGCATCTTTGCCTCCATTTCATTGTGAGATCCACTACCTCAAATTTTCCATGGTCGGTTGCCTGCCTTATATGGCGTCAGAGCCCAATGCGTTATTCCAGCAGGCCAAGGAAGAATTTTTATCGCATGGTTTCTATCAAACCAACCAAACAACCATTCCAAACGAACTGTAGGACGGTCCTGAAGGACAGTCAAAGTTACAAGCTTTTCGAAAGCGGTCTTCCGTACCACTCCGAAAATCTTTCTGCATCATATTGCGTGCGATACCTCAGGCTATGGGTAATGCGTCGTCTACGGTTGTGACGCCGGCATTACTATGGCGCAGATATGGTGTGGGTTTTGAGCAAGGCCCAGCAAACTCTGCGTACGTGTTCGCTCGTGTGCGACGCCAGCCGATAAATCACTGTTTGCAGTAGCTGACCTCTGTATAGGCATCATTTGGTGCATATTCAGTGATACTCATATGTCTGGCGCAGCATTTTCTCTCTTAATCGTGATCTTAATCCACAGATCCAGAAAACTACATTATTTTTCTAGAAACCCACAACGGTCATATACTGACGACATTTGGTGATGAGGACGGTGGGCAGGCTCAAAACGAAGTACATCATCACAGTCATGGGGTAAATTGAAACCCTGGTAACAACCTTCAGATTGTTCCTGTGGTGCAACTCGAATTTGGCCAGAAATGTGGAGCATACGTATATGAGTCTAATGAGCATGCTAGATTTAAAAATCCTGAAAAGATTAGTGTGGATTGGTTCGAAAATCAGATCCATTTAAGCACTCAGATTGCTTGATACCCCCTTTTTTCTCCGTCATCTATTGTGATCAATGATAGCATGGAAATATTGTGGTCTGCCTAATATCGGCCTTATTGCGCCATAGGTCATCCTAACTGAGTATTCGTGATGACTGCGAGCAGTTCCCATTTGTCGGCTGGTTCAGTGTTGCGGCGTTTGACTTCTTATTGCAACTTTTTCTTGCTTCCCAATGAGAGAGCTATTGTTTAGGCTTTGTGAGTACCAATCACGGTTCCTTCGCACTGCGTAGAAACAAGTTTCCAAGTAAACAGAATACGCGTGACCCACATCGCTTTTTGTGACAACGGCAAACGTTATTTTGCTATGGGAATCAGCTAAAAACTAAGCGCACACCTTGGTCCCACACTCGCACTGCTGCATTTGTTTGGGGACGCATGTTTGACAAAAATTCGCAAGGCGCCATTTGCTATAATTGTGACGCGTCCGGTGGAAGCGTGGCAGTATCGTTGGTGGTGGTTTTACGACTTCACACATTTTCACTGAATAATATTACAGAGTAACTTTTTGCTGTCCCACTTACGCCAAAACATTCTGCAGTCTCGGAAGTTATACTTTTAGTTGGATAGATCAAGGTTTAACCAATGCGTAAGAAGCACATTCACCAAACTAAATGATTATTCAGGTAATCAAGAAAAATTTGATTACGACCTCAAAACCGGAGATCTTTACACTCACCACCATCAGGTTAGTCACTGCGATCCCAGGTAAAATTTAGCAAGTTTTCAATCGGACATTCTCCTAATAGCAAGAATAGCCGATATAACCATAGCGACGTTTGTTCATCTGCAGTGAAATCCGCCAGTTTGTCTGCAACGATTTATGAAATTTGTTGATACAACCTTCAGCTTTTCATCCGTTATAATCCAAGCACTGCTACTTCCAGTGAACCAGAGGCGATAAGCGGTTATATTTCTCATTTGTTCTATCTACTCATGAGAAGCGTAGTTAAGGTCTGTCTATTGTAAATACTTTCCTCTCTATGCTTGTTCCACGGGCTTTTGCTTGCGCCTAGGATGTACTCACACTGAAGAAACTAATGTAAAATTTTTTGTTGTTTGTCCGCCTTTACTTATAACTTCGTACGATCTCTACTCATTTTCGAGTGTTTGCTTCGACGTAAATAACGGGCGCCCGTTGCTTGATGGGAGACGAGCGCGCTAACCGCTTAGCAACCTCGACATCTTGTGTTAGTTTTATATTGTATCTTACCCATTGGTCTTGGTTGAGATTTCATTGTAAACCGGCCTAAGCGCGCTTGACAATTTAACTAGTGACATGAGCTGCTGCGCCACGCCATTAGCTAAAGGCTGCAGACAAATGTTTGCTCAAGGAACGTACCGGTATTTTTTGCGCCGCATTTGGCATATTTACACTGAATGTCCATATCCAAAGCCCTGCCTCTTGTACGTCTGTTTTCTGCTCCAAACGACCGTCATTACTAGTTAACCACTTCTCTATACAGCATCTACTGTCCATGCTAGTCGGTTTCTACTCTCATCAGAATATGAACTGCGCATAATCAAATAGCTCAAACCGTCTCTTAAGATTCTTGGATGCGATAAAATGCTAGTTTGTCCGTGTTGATCTACAAATTTGGTTACTAAAGTCTACAGCTCTTCAATCGTTGAAAAACAGGGACTTGAAAGGTGTTGTGCATTTTGTACGGCCTGCTTACCAAAAGTTCCATCGCCACTTTATCAGAATGGTACTCGTAATCTACACTGGGCCAAGGACGCAGACACCTTCACTCTAACGCAAAAATGAGTCTATCTGAATACTGGTGTCTTGATTGTTTTCGATCCCAAAGACAAGCTCTTGTGTAGATGTGAAGACCGAATAATTGAGGTTATTGTTCAGAATATAATCACAGCTTTGCTAGGGAATACATACTATATGGTAGGAAAACCTTAGAGGCTACATTCAGGATGTCAGCTGGATTGCAAGGACATACCCACCACTTCTTTCCGGATAACGTACACCTTTGCTGTTCGCAAGGGCCTAGAGAGCAAATCAAGATGTGGTGGTGGACTATTCTAAATAGCGGTTGTTAATGATTTATTTGGCTGGCATTTTAGGATACAAGTTTTGCGAGCGATATGGATGCCACGTAAGGTTTCAGGCACATGCGGATCACGCAAAGTATTTCTTGAAGAGCTGCCCATCAGTTTCGTCACTAAGTGCAGTGAACATCCAAAACTGGTATGGAACTGCTCAGTGTGCGGTACAGAATTTCGAGTGCCTCCTGGAAGTTCCAGGACCACAAGGCACACAGAATGCCGAAAGACGATTGATCAGTGGTTTCTTATTTTTGGACGATCAGAGCCTTGCCCGACGTTGGAGTGACAGCAATCCCTCGTCTTAGCCAGTCACCTGAGAGTCATGTCCAAACCGTTCCGGCGCGAAATATTTGTGGTTTGAACTCGCCTTAGTTAAATTAAACGGAGTAATTGGGATACTTATATGACGTCAGGCACTTCAGCTATATAATGCTTCCTCAAGACAAATTATCCGATGAGCAAAGCTGCTTCGTAGCAAGTAGCTTTTCATTTGACGAAACTTAGTCTGTAAAACAAGGAAGTTCACTTTAAAATTTGGGATTTTGCTATGTTACTGCCCAGAATAAGCAGCATCATAAGCTGTCTTAGTTTTTCGGAACCTGTTTATCTTAATCTCATGTTCATTTTTTAACTTTTTGCGTGCATTTCAGTTTTCAAGTTGCAGTACTCCGCTTTCCGACACGGCCTTAGATAAGTTAGTGGAGAAATTGGCACTTATCTTGTCTCCACCGTCTAAAGCATATGAGAAAGTCTTAAGTGAACACGTGAAGTATACTGTGTAGTATATATATATATATATATATATACTGTGTAGCATAGAACTGTTTAGTATACTTGCGTGCAGAATGTAACCCGAACACCAACGCCATTTTGTTTTACGACTTCGTAAGATGCAGCAGCCGTCCGGCGAAACCAGCGGAAACCAGCGTGATTCGAAGAAGCTAGTCTGTTGAGCGCGTTTGCTGAGTACGTTCGGCACAAACAGTGTGGATGTCCATTTTGCTTTTATCATCCGGTCACCCATTTCGTAGTCGCCTCTTGGCACCTCAAAAATAATAGTGGGTTTAGCAATTTTTGTGCGATGGATTTATGGTGAATTGGAAGTAACAGAAGAGGAGTTGAACACCTGCAGGCCCCTGCTGAAGTATGGTGCACCGCCAAGTAAAATGCGGC